GCCAAACGACCTTTTCACAGGGTTCACCTGATTCATAACAGAACTGTACAAAAGGGTCTTGGCATGAGGAAGGTTGAGAACCACTGTTCTGGGGGCGGGGGGGTGTCGATGGAAGTGTTGGCTGCAGGACTGTGCTTGTGGGAGGGGGCGCTGAAGGTCCTACCTGGCTCTGTATCTGTAAGGGGGATTGTAGAGACCCTCCATTTCCTGGCTGTCCCCTCTGTCCATGACTCCCTTCTTGGCCTCCCGTCACTATGTGTCCTTCTTGTTTTAGTGTGACCTGTGAGCTATACCTGCCCATCCCCTGTGTCCCCCTCCCCAGCCGAGTCCCCTGAACCTGGATGTGACCAACTGGCCTCCTGCCAATGTTTCAAGTAGGAATGGGGGGACCAGCACAGCCCAGGGTTCTGAGCAGGACTTTGTCTTACAGCTGCGGGGTAAGTGCTGAAGGGGCAGCTGCCTTTGAGACAGACCTTGAAGGGTTGGGTGCATGGACCCCAGGGGACAGGGCCACATTACCTAGGGCTGCCGCCAAGAGGCTCACCTGGTCTGAGAGGAAAGGCCTCAGGGGTTCTTCAGGGAGGAGTCTCCTCCCTGTGACCCCACCCCAGCGCTGCCCTCCACCTCTGAGTCTGCAATGAGGGCAAACAAACTGGGCTCCCTGCCTGCCTTTCCCCCCTTACCTCCCCCTGCAGAGCTGCTGGGGAGGCTCCAGCTATTTCCCCAGAGAAAACCAGAGCCCAAGCCCGTCGCAGTGGCATTGACGCCATGTGTCGTGAGGTAGGACTGTGTTTGATGGAGCCTTTGGTGGCTGTTAGCCCATGGGAGCCTTTTTTCCCAAGGTGCCTCTGGACAGGAAGGGCCAGCCTTTCTGTTAGCAATGCAGTGCTTGACCTTTTGTCTGGGCGACCCAGAGGCTCTGCTGGGAAGAGAACTTCCCTGGAAAGTGAATTCACTCAAGCCCTCTGGATCCAGCCAATCCTACTGAGTTTCCATGGTCATTGTCCTCGGAGCACCGCACCTCATGAGGCCACATAAGGCCTTGTGGCAGCATCTCTTTGTTCCCCTGCATTTGTTTGCCTGCTTTTGTTTTTGCCAGCCACGGGGAGACAAAAACGCCCACCCCCTTGACAGATACCCAGCGGGACAATGTTGCTCCTCTCCTCTTACTCCTTTAGAAAGATCTCGTCTTAATTATTAAGCATTTTACACATGGAACTTGAGCCAAATAGAGCCATTTGATCTCTGTGACTTCTAACTAGATATTTCATTCAGGAGCCATTAGATTCAAATATAATTAGAATGAGAATAGTGTGCCAATGGGGATTTGTTAATAATAACTACTCACTTATTTATTCATTCATATATACTTGATCAAACCACTGGGTTAGCTCATTTGCATTCTCTCTTACTCCCCCCATCCCCCCCACCTGGCCCATTTATTTTCGAGAATCATTTACTGAATGCCTTCTATAAATGAGGCACCCTCCTACATAAGAGTTAGACAAAGATACTGTCCCCCGTTCCTAAGGAGTTATTTATTCACTCAACAGATGTTTATGCAAAAGCCACACATCAGGCTGGACCCTAGAGCTCCTCAACAGGGCCAGGAGGCAGAATATAATTAAATGCTTACAGTATCATGTGTGAGGTCCTTTTCTGAAAGGTATAAAGAGTTCCCCATAGGGACTGAATGGAGAAATGTAATCGTCAGGATTCTTTGGGGTCAAGAAATACAAGTCCAGCTGGCTTAAGCTGTCACTGGCAAATCCAGGACTGGCATCAGGCACACCTGGATCCAGCCACTGACAAGAGGAACACATGGGAGGGAGCAGAGTGTGGGTGCAGGGAGGCTGGTGCTGTTCACAGTGAGGGCAGCCGGGGAAGTGAAAGCCCTCGCAGGGAGGAGGAGAGGCTGAATCCAGTGACCAGTGGCCCGAGGCTGCCCTCACATAATCCTCGACACGAGACTGCCAGGAGGGAGCAGATCAAATGCTCGTCCACCCCGATGAGTTTGATGTTCAAGTCAATACTGTAGCAGGACACTGAGAAGTCACCTTCAGGATCAACACCTGCATCAGCATCCTCTTCAGTGTCTCCATCATTATCACGGTTGGCTTTGACATCGCCATCTCTTTTTTTAAAGAATACTGAAGTATTAACTTTATTTTCAGTTCAATGAAACAGTTTTACCAATCTGACACTGCCCAGAGTATCGATTATAAACAGTGCTATCTTGAACTAATAAACAAACTTAGTAAGTCTACTACCCCCGCCAAAAAGAATGTGAATAAGTATTTGCATACATTAATTTTTTTAAATCAAATACAGAATCGGATGTGAAACGACAGCTTTTGCCTCTTCATTCCAACATAAATGACTTTGTTTCACAACCAACCAACCCCTCACCACCTGACACGAAGACGTTAGTTTAAATATGTGCTGTTTGGCTTTGTTTTATCTACTTTTTTCCCATTTCATTTTTAAAAAGCTATAAGCATACGAAATGTGTACCCATCATAAGAATCCCTGGGTGTTGCAAACGGCCAGTTTGCATGACTACTAACTAAAGGTTGGCATTTTGAATTTACCCAGAGGCAACTTGAAAGAAAACTCTGTCGTTCTGTTCTGAAGAGTCACAGCAGTGAAAAGCCGTGCAACCCAGGTCTGTCTGCACCAGGGCGGCACCGTGAGCCAGGGTCGACTGGACGGCAACAGTTTCCGTGTTTAATTCATGCCTCTTTAAGGGAAGTTCCAGTAACAACGGCTTGAAACAACACTTGGTAGTGGAAACCATTTTCCAGGCAGGTGAGGCTTCACAGACACTGCAGACGGAAGACCTGTCCATTGTCTTGTCCAAACATCACAGATAAGAAAACAGAAATGCAGCAAGTCTCCTCCGTAGCACATGGAGTCACCATGGGTTGAACGCAGTATCCAAGGATTTTTTTTAAATTCAGTATTGGAAGGGTTTTTTCCCCTAGTTTCATTGGCAGATAATTTATATCTCATACCATAGTTTAAGCCTTTTAAGAAGACTTGGCCAATAATCATCTCAGTTGTGGGACAGTTTCTTCTTTCTTGTCATTGTGAGGTTCCCATGTCTCCACAACCACCCTGCCACCCCCCTGGGTAGTTATTAATCCAGCTACTGTCTGTAGATTTACCTGTCCTGGATTTCAAATACAGAGAAAATACAAAGCAAAAATAAGGAAAACCAAAACAACAACAATGACAAAACAAAGAAAAATCTCATTTTTTAAAAAGTAGAAAATATTAAAACTGGAACAATCTTAAAATGGGTCAAAAAAGAGGTCAAATGATAAGGTGTTACATTTTAACCTAACTCCGTCTACCATAATCAACTTTATAATGCTCTCTGCCTGATAACATATCTTTGGGCTATGGTCAGAAGGGATTTATCAGAGGCTCAATCCATGTGAGGACCCTGCAGAGGGTCTTGGGCTTCCACTGTCAACCACAGTCTTCCGCAAACTGGGTGCTCACAATTTAAGCTCTGATATCATTCCCTCCTCCAGGTTTGGATTTTATCATTTATAATCCTTGGATCACACAGGTTGATGTGCTTCTTCCCTGTGAATTTAGCTGATGCCTCACTTGGATGGCTGCTTGTTTGAAGACAAGCCTTTAAGACCCCAGACACTATTCTTCCTGAGAGCAGGGCACCATCTAACGTCCTTACTACACTTTACTACAGTTCCCATATTTTTAGTGATCTCTTCATGAGAGTGAGTATCAAGTAGGGCCATGACATCTCCATCTCTATTACTAACATCTTTCCATCATAATCCATCCATTCAAATAAGTTACTTGGGCCCTCCTATTGTCCAACATTGGGCCTAACACTGGAAATGTCAAAGCAGACAAACAAGATTGCCACCTTTCTGAAACATTACAACCCACTTGGTCAGACTGACATTAATGAAATGATCACACAGCAGATGTAAAACACAACTGTGATGACAGGTCTGAGGAGAATGAACAGGGTGGAGAATAGCAGCAGTGGGAATCCTGTTACGACAAAGCTGCCAAGAGAGGGCTCTCTGACAGGGTACCATTTAAACTGAGACCTGACCATTAAGAAGGATTCCCCAAGAGAAGAACTCGGGGATCCCATTGCACATGCAGGGAACTGCGTAGGTAAAAGCTTATCATCATCATAGCACCCTAGTTGCCCTTGGACTCCATCTTCAGATGTGACCTAAGCTGAGTCCCCCACTGGGGCATCAGCTGGCTTGAATGGCAGGAACAAGGCAGAGCCGGGGGTCTCAAGCTGGCAGAGGGTCTCGGGAATAGCTGAGAGGTTGCATGGCTCAGGGACATCCTGAGTTGGTATGGGAACCGGTCCTGTTCTAGCCAAGGCAAGTCTTCATTTGGGGTTTGTGTTGTCTTTGCTTCCACCGTCCTCCCTGCATCCCAACACTTTCAGCCACACCAAGAGACCTTGTTCTTCTGATGGAGCTCATGAAATTGCATCTGTTGTATCCATCAGGAGCCAGGCCATCAATAACCAGCCCTTTAAAATCGCATCTCCCGTATCCCTCAGAGTTGGAAATAGCATAACAAGCTCCACAGCCGAGCAGCAGGAAAGGATTAGTGCCCTAGCATGTGGCTGGCACGGACACAACTGGAGAGGCCAGGGCTGAGGCTCCCACACTCCCAGCAGAAGTTATCCTGGAGACTTCCTTACTTCCATGGGCAAGAACGTGCTCTCGGGCAGAAAACAAAAGCCACAGCTGGGAGGCCCAGGAAGGAAGCCAGGGACTGTGAACGCTCGCGATTTGGCCAAGTTCTGTGCGTGGAAAGCTGTGGCGGGGCAGCTGGTCTGCCCCCAGGGGGTCTGACTTTATGCACAGGTCTGAACTAAGTGCCTCCTCTGTGCAGGGGCCTGTGCCAGCACCACGAAGGCCACCAGACCACACGCTGCTGTCCTCAACCTCTCTCCAGAAGCTACCACCTGCCTGAGGCTTCCAAGACAGATGGAAGGGGCCCTTGTAGAGGCACCTCACCTTGGCAGGGCTGTCTTTAAGATGACGTCGGTTCATTCACCATGCTCCAGGGCCTTCTCCCAGACTCTGTCTTCGTGCTTGGCCGTGGATCTTTGTGCTGCTCGCTCTTGGCATCACCCATCCTGGGTTTGCTCCATCCCTGCTCTACAGATCTCTCCGTTTTCCCAGTTCTGACCTAGACCATTGGCCCTAATCCTGAGCCCGCCCTTTCAGTGCCAGCTTCTCATTATCCACTGACTGGTGAGTGATGCCCACAGACTCCCCGAGGAAGCAGGTTTCACCCAGAACACCGGCATTTGATGAGATGGCAAAATGGTTGCAGCTGAACTCAGGGACTCTGGGCATTTGGCAAGGGAGCAGCCAGGGCTGGTTTAAACAGAAAGGGGAGGTTTCATGGAGGGGTAGTA